GATTATTATAGTTTTAACATTTACATGTTTCTTGCTCGTAAATTCGCTGCATTATATAATAAAATTTCAACAAAGAAAGCATTAAGTGAATAAAACTTTAAATAACTCCAATAAATCTCTTGCATGTCACACCACTCCCCGTACCAAGAAAACGGAGCAGTTGAAGTTGACGCAACGAAGATACGACTTTTTTGTAACGTTCTAAATGAACGATAGCTTCGATATCGGAGTCAATTAATTATGTCAACGGGTCCGCGATAACCTCTCTCCCCGTTCGATTCCCATGCTACACACCTTTCTCCCTGTGCACACAGTCCAATTTTGCGAGGGTTAACTGCGGGACATTTACCATGAAAGCGTCCGGCAATAAATCCCATCTTGCGTGCAGCGAGCGAATGCCGGTCGGATTTCCTCACGGGACACGCGGATCGGTATAATTAGACTGGTTTACGGCGGTCGATCGTTGGAAAGCATTCGGAGTAGCGAGCCAACCAGGGCAACTACATTATCCTCAAACATTACTTGCGCGCTGCTATCCGAACGTTCGGATCACTTTATCATTAGGTAGGTACCCGAAAACGACTATTCATAAGTAATCATTTAACCCTTTCTTCTCTAAATTTTAATAATGAACAAACTGCATATAAGAGAAACGTTTTCCCGATATTGGGAGAAATTATTGCACACGAAAAAATTATATGATCTGTTCAGACTGCTTTCATATTTTTCGTTAGGAATTAACGGTAGTTGTAAGTATCGTGTCAACAAATCTGAATGCAAACAAAAAACCGCTGCTTAACAGATTCAGTAGTTACGCGCTTAAGATAAAAAAATATGTGGATACATGTGTACACGTGGCTCAAGTGACTTGTGTTCGCGGATACGTGTAAGTAGGTACCTGAAGCGGTGGAGAACGTGCAAGGCGTAACAGGCCAATGTAAACGCGGTATGGCATGCAATTAATGTTAAGAAGCCGAGGTGGTTTAGCGGTCGAGCAAGCATGATTATCCCGGATACGGAAAACGAGGGAAGCGATAGAGGCAGTGGTACCGAAAGTTTAGGAGATAGAGAGAAACGGAGGAAGCACAGACTTAACCGGAATTAGTGTAACGAAATGATAATGCCTTACCATCACGTAATGTCGCTGGATCTCGATCTTCTCCGTTGCTAGTTTCTCGCACTCCAGTTTTAAACTGTAAACAGTGACAGGAAAAAGTCATTAAAAATCATTAATCATTTTATAATAATATATACATGCAAATATTTATTTTTAATACAGTTATATCTTTTTTATTATTCGTATTGCAGCACGTGTGTTTGTGTATATCAAATGCATGAACGAATTCTTTAAGGGACATTCAGTAATAAAGTTGAACATTTAAAATACAAGATTGACATAATGAATGTAATTTAATTTAATTTAATGAAAATATTAAATTAAACACTAAATAATACAATTCGCCTTTCTCAATATGAAACTAATGAAAAGCATTTATATTAATAGGGATTATTTCGTTTTTCCTATTTCAACCAATTTTTCCAATTACGTGATTATTTCTCGTTACAATGTAAATCACACAATATCCGATATGCGTATAAAAAATTTTATTCCGTTTTATTTTCTTTGTTTGAAAACGGGATCACTCTATTCTTGATTGTAGCACTTATCACTAGACACCTTGTACATTCTCACAAGTGTTGCGTGCTACTCCGAACTTCCAAACGTTTCCTATCGTTCGCTCAGAGAGCTGTCTATATTCGCCCCGTTCTCTTATATTCCACGTCATCGTTAGAGAACAATGCCGAGTATACACGTATACTCTACACTCGTTCGCCAACTTCAGAGCGAAAACAGGGGAAAAAAGTAGAGAAGGAAAGAAGCAAAGGGAAAGAGGTTGAAACCTTCCGGCTGGGAAGTTCCAGGTTGCACGACGATGAACAATGAAAGTTTCGATCCGCGAAACACTGAAAAATGCAGTAGTAGGCGAGAGATCCGACCCGTGGCTTTCTTTAATTTCGTATTCGCGGATGGCTCACGGACTCACGGGTGTCATTACGTGTCTGCCAATGGCCACGTTGTCGTAAATCACTTATGGCTTTTGTGTATCGCGTGCAAAGCCAAGGAAGAGCAGCTGCGTCGATTCCCAGGCTCTTCCTCGATCCGGCGACGGTAGTACCCGGTAGCTACGTATGCAACTCCGAGACAAAAGGAGAACAAGAGGAAAAAAAAAGGGAAAAAGAGCTGAAGAGCAGGTGCCGCGCGACTTCAATCGTCTTACGACTATTGCTGCTCCTTTTTTCGCCTCTCTTTCTTCCTTTTGCTCTTCTTCTTTCTCCATCGTTACACGATTTAATAATTAACTTATTCATACCGAAAGACCCGCTTCCAGATTAGCTGTGGCTCAACCGCCCGTCCTTTTTAATATTAATTTATTTTGAGTTGAATTACGAAATAACTTGGAAAAGGTAAGAATCCCTTTGAATTGGGGTTGATTGCTTTTACGCTCCACTTGTTGGTAAGTTACTTATCATTCTTACTGCAGGAGTATCGCAATGTCGATTTAATAATTGGTTCAAAGATAAGGTTTTCATTTCTTTTATTAACATTAGAGCTTCGATATCTGAGAATCTGTACAAAGTTTTAATGATGTTCTACGTTTCTTGCTTACTTGAATTTATAGATAAATGCATAAAATCCGCAATCTAATAATGAATGAAGAGAAGAATAAAATATTTAATACTAGAAATGTAAATGTAACCGGATCGATATATTTAATGCTCATATAGTGTAGATTGAAACTTGAAATAGTACGTGAAATACTGTGATGGATGTGTGCAGGAACGTGATCATGGTATAATAAAGTATTTCTTACTTACGCGTGACATTGGTTCTGCAAAAAGCTGAATTCGTCCTTGATCCTATCGCAGGATTCTCCGACTGTGAGTTTAATTTGCTGTCCAGATTGCGGTGGACCCTGCAACAAATTTACGACAGAGACATTAATATATACCGACACCTCGATTAATGGTCAAATTAATTCTTAATTTTTTTCGAAACATTTAAGCACAGACTTATGTTCATTACGTATTTAACAGGAACATTACTATTTGACGTAGCAGATATCGAATATGCGTTTTGAGTATAATGTTCATTACTCGAAGAAGTGCAAAGACGTAAAAAATTTTTTCTTAAAAGAAAAAATTCTATACTTGAATTTATGAGTATATACCTAACTCATTGTACTTCAGTGCCAAATAAGTATGCATCGCCATTAGTGGTGTGCATGGGTATATAATCAGTTAAATGTACATATAACAAAATGAATCAAAAACATGTGTAAAGAGATAATATTGTTTCCCGTACGGCTATTTTATTATTACCGAAAAATACATATCAAACTTCACGGTAATAAACCGCGGTTTAGCTTGCGAAAGTGGAGAAATAAGCGGCTGGTTAGAATATCCAACTTCATCGTGTGTGGTATCACGTTATAACGCAACAGCACGTAAAACATGAACAAACTTTGCAGTCTAAACTTTGCTCTATTAATCATTGCACGCCAGTTATGTGAAAACCACCGAGACAAAAGATTGCATATCATTATCTTTTTAGCCGAGATAGCTACGCGTACGCTGCTATTATTCCGGGAGAAACTAAAAATGATAACATCCGTCCCAGCTGCTTTAGGTATACATACATAGACGCGCGTATGTACATAGGCGCGTTTCACAACCATTAATAATAATTGGAGCTTGCTTCATATTCATTATTAACAGAATAATACTTTTAACAATTATCATTTGTACCATTCATACATGAATGCATTTTTAATAAAATTTTTCTTTTATGTAATCTAGGATGATGTACAAGATAATTTTTGTTAATGAGGAAATCGCTAAAACCCGTTAGGGTTGAATACCATTCTAAGAAGACGTCTCTCCAAATAAAAAGGGAAGAATAGCGCGAGGAATAAAAAGAAGGAGGGAACGCGGCGACGCGACAGAAGCCGAGCGGAGCGCGCGACGTGAATACGCGTCAGTGCCGGCGGTGAATAATTAATTTCACACAGCTGTTCATCGTGAAGAAGCGGGAATGAATGCAGGAAGTAATGCGTTAGCCGATTTGCGGCCTCCGTCGAAGAAAAGGGGGAATCAGACAGGCGTAGCGAAAGAGGCGATGCGATGCGCGCCGTTCCTGCAACGGTAAACAAGAAAAAGACATCCGAACACGCCATCAGTAATCGTGCACGCGTGGATGAACGCAAAATGTTGTAATGTAACGCAACGCGATAACGAGAGTACTGGCAGGTGGGACTTGGCTTGGGTTTCTCCATTAGGGAATGCATGATTCAAAACGATACAGTTTGCACTTTCATTCAATATATGCGTGCGTGTAAAGCGTAGAGATAGAGAGATTCCATGTTATCGACAAAAGCGCATATTATATTTACTAGTATAAATACCACAAATCTGAATTAGCAATTCAGTGTCATTTGATCAAAACGCATGTATTAACTGGAAAGTAATTTTGACCAATATGTTCGGAAATGAATGTTACATTTTATTGTATATAAAATCTTCAATTTCGTACATGAATCATAAACTGGCAAACAGATGTTGATAAAATAATCAATAAGTATATATAAATATAAATGAACAAAACGATATTCTGAAAAACGGGAATTAACTTAATTTTATTTGACAATATTCCTCCGAGGAACGTAGAAAGTAGACGATTTCGTACGCGAAAAATATATGGCAAAAGTTTCGAATCTGATTTCAGAGATATTATCGATATAAATATCGGGTCTGTGGCGACGGGAGCGTGATTTCCGGCGTTATATATGAAGAATCGCGAAGAATGTTCGCGATAATGTGAAAGGAGAAATGTGCGCTACGTATGAGTGCAGGATGTGTACAGTCGTCGGAATCGATAGGAATTGGATGAATGGTTCGAGTTCGGAGGCTACGGAGTTCCATGCATCGATGAAAACTTCAAATCATAGGTTTTCAGTTTCAATGCAGCCTCTGGTGCACACTGGACGTCGTCGAGTTTGCCATGAACTTTTGACTTGGAGCTTGTTTACTTGAAAGATGAATTATGATCGCAAATAATTTCTGCATTCCATTAATTCTTTTTTTTCTTATTGCGCAAAAATTTGTCAAAGTAAATATATCGCGCTTTGTTTCATTATTAGGCTTAAATTAGGTGTTAGAGATAAAACAAGTTGCAAAAGAGAAATCTATCAATTAGGTAAATAATACGAAACTACTTGAGGGAATGTTGCAGAGAATGCAGCAGCAAAATATTTGCTTTCACCCTGGAGATACCTCGTACGTCAGAGGTCTTACTCGTTACATTGCTCGGCGTACACGCACGATTACACACACCCATACACGGACACAGCGTAGACACAGCCGTGCTGGGCCCGGTGTATAGTCGACATGATCTCGACTGACTGCAACGGCTCGTAGAGAGAGAGCAAGTGTTAATTACATGTTTGCGGTGTCCGCGAGGATTACACGCTACAACCGAAACTATGAACTTGCGACGAGGACTCGCGCGCGCGCATGTGTGTGTCCAAGTGCACGTGGGTGCTCACCGGCGTGGCGTTCACGTGTAGACCAACCAGGCAAAGTGAGAGAGGCTTGTTCTCTGTTAACTACATATACACATTCGCAGTGCCTACGCAAGCGTCGGCCTTCGACCGACCTGTAGATCGTGTTGGATACGATTCCCCTTATTCCTACACAACCGGCGTTACGTTATCTCTGACCAACACGTGAAAATCGATCGACGTGCAAGCACAGCGTCAAAAAGACGGGTTTCCGGTGGATTATGCATGTCTTGATTAATGTAAATAACGGGTAGTCGGCGTATTATTAATGGCTTTTAGAAAACCGCTTTTAATGACTTTTCGAGTACCCGCCTAATACTCATGCTTTTAACTAAGATAGAAAATGATTAGTTTAGAATCGATTTAAACTGAGATTGAACAAAAACGCTTGGACCTAATTGTACAGAATAATTAGAGAGACAAATATTTGAAACATTTTTATATCATCGCGATCATTACTTGACTTAGCTTATGGTAATGCCGTCGGCATAATTTGGAACTGAGATAAACCGTGCTCTCGAGATGTGCTTCGTGAAGCATCATTGATGAAAAACAAGGAGGAAGAAGGCTAGCCCAAGGAGTTATCTTGGGTTAAGCTAGAAATGCATCGGGTTCCTTCTGACCTCGATCACAATCGAATCGTTGTAATCAAATGAACCGTGAGCCTAGAAGTCCGTGTTCGGCTCAGCTGTCGACCAACCAAATCGATCGAGATTCCATCGGAAAGTCTCTTTGTACGAGGGAATTCTTGCGGTTCCCTTCCGCGCTTTTACATCCGCCTCTTTGTTCCATCGAAACAGGGACGACTCGATCGTCTGGTTTCAATAAAATATTGAATCCGAACTCGAAATCAAGGTTTCTCGATGCCAGAGAAAAAAAAAACAATAAAGGCGCTGCTCTTCGAAGAAGACTGAACTTTCTTTCCGAAAGTACGAATTATTTTCATACAAAAAAATACATAAGAATATATGTATTTGTGTATTATACATTTATATAAATACATGTCTAGGTATGCGTCAGAAAATCATAAGAGATCTTTTAGATAATTAGAGGATCCACTAGATAACCAGTATTGTTCTGAGATCTGCTAATGACAACGCTACAATTGAATACAAAATTCCACGTTCTATCTTTGTTATAAGTTTTGCATTTTCTAGTACGACAACGTACATACGTGCATGCGGCATTTGCACGCATTCTACGCAGCTTGTTGCAGTAGTTTAAACGGTTCTTAACGCAAGCGGCACTTTGCGGCTTTTAGAGCGTTTCGGCTAATGCGCTAAAATGCACTTCGTTACGCCGTGCACCGCAATGCAAACCGACCACTGGCACGGTGCAGCGTACACCGTGCCGTTGTGCTGTTCACTCTGGGTTCGCTTTAGTAGAAATAACGTATAGTTACTACCGGCACCCGGAGATTTTCGCAATCCGGAAGCAAATTTGTCGTCAGAACTGGGATTTCCGAGGTAAGCATCGCCATAACTTTGCAATATGACATAAATTCTACTTGGTGAAAGATGAAATTGCGCAAACAAACGCGAAACCTGCACTCCACGATTTGGAACAAATTGCAAAACCGATAAAACAATGAAACATCTGAGAAAAAAAAACTATAAATAAATTGTTCAATTACTACCAAAATGCAAATCCTGATTCTGATAAAATACAGAGATATTACCGGAGATATTACCGCGACAAATTTAAACATCTTTTTCACGCATCCTACTATGTGACATTTACTCGACAAACACACGCTCTGCAAAGACGCGACGAATCATATTTTTCACTACACTGCTACGCTGTCGCGCGAAAGGATCTGAATCATACTAGATAAAACGCGATGAATAGTAGTAATTTGACAAGAATAATAATGATGTCACGCATTCCACTTATTTCTGCTCTAGCCGAATCCTGATCACTGTTAAAAGAAATCGTAAATCCTTCAGGCGTCTCTGGCACACGAGAAAATCATTTTATCGCGCGGAAACTAAATGAGACCGAACAGTGATCAACAGAAATATACGAGGAATAAATCTTTAGCTCGTTTTATTACCGTGAATCTTAATTCCATCGTAAACAGAAACTCTTCTATCGCCAGTTAATATTGTATCGAGAAAGCCTCGATTAAATTGCTTATAGATTGTACGTTACAATTTTGTCATTGTTTCTTTTTTTCCGTGATGGAAGTATCGTTCGTTAATGCCGTTAATAAATAGTTTTATACGACAGTACACGGGTATCGTTTCTAGACAGAACAAACAATATGTGCATGTATGCGTACGTGTCTTCCACAGTGATGTATTTGCCAGATAAAAGCTGTGAGCACACAAGAGGAAGTTCTTGTTCTATTCTACGAA